GGTCCTCACCCTTCTTCGCGGGTATAGGCCACAGTTCTATATGAGGACCACCGATGCCACCGATCGGATCTCATCCATAATGAACGACAATGATGAGGAGGCGACAATGGTCATACCTGGAGACCGTGTCCAGATGGGGGTGGAACTCGTCATGCGCCTGTGAACAGGGCATGCGGTTCGATATCAGAGAGGGCGGCAAGACCGTCGGTACTGGAGTCATCCAGTTCATTATGGAGTAATCACCGAATGTAGAGCTTCGTCTTTCTTCCAGTTGCAGGGCTTGCTTCACTGATTGGTGCGGCGATGGTAACTCTTTGAGATTTTACATCAAACACACGTTAGGTGGCAATCCAAGGAACTCCTGCTCTGCATTGTCGTATTTTTGCATTTTTGCTGCTTTTGCCTTTTTCTCTTATTGCATTTGTGACTATGAATCTCTACGGTATAGGAGGTTGTAGATGTTATCGTGATTTTATTAGGTTTATTATCATGAAAGATCATGCTTTGATTAATGTAAAAGTAAGGCTGTTTAATTCAGTTCTCTTCTTTGGTCGCTTTATCTGATTTTGATCAATGAATAGTAGATAACATGCTTGATGATTGACTTCAAAGTATTTGGGGCATTTTGGCTTCTTGTTGTTGTATAGCAGGATGACAAGCTAGACATGGAGTTATTGGCTGATACAGTTAAGACTTGTTCAGTATTCACTGGAAGGTTTGGACCAGGGCATGTACAATAAATAGATTTAATTGAATTATTGTTCTTGACCAGCTTAATCTTTAGACTACTTTCTTTTGTTTTTTGTTGTGATCTGGGTCACCGGTTGCATCTGATGGTAGTATAGTAACTGATTATATGCATATGATCCTTTGTTGTTTGATGATTATCACAACTTACAATCAGAGATTGTGTTGTTAACCTTTTGCACTTTCTGATCCATCTCAATTTGCCAATACTTGGCTTGATCAAGGTTTGTTCTACCTCAGTTTTTGCAAATTTTAATTTGAATCCTAATTATTGAACCGTTGACTTATTCAGAGGAGCTTTTTCAATAGACAACATTGTCTTTCTTTTTGTACTCTATAGATTGTTAGAAGTGTATTTTAATTAGCAATGCATCATCACTTCTTTGTCGGCAAGATGAGCATTCTATAAAGTAGACAGAATGATACAGAGCAATCACTTCACTTCTCAACGATGCACTGTTGGCTTGGAATACTTAATTCTATATAATCAAAGATCCTACTATTGCTCTCATTACATGGTTGGATGAACTGATTTTTGCAGTTAGTCTTCTTGTTGATCATGGGAAAACTACTTTTGTTATTTTTCGAGTTCTTCTCTTTATCTTCTTTTATGCTGATGTATTGTGCTTCCAACAGTAGTAAGAATATGAATATGTCAAGGAAAAAACTTGATCAGTGATCAAATTGGTCTTTTTTTAATTTTGATATGCAACTATTTAATTTAACTTCAGTTCTTCCTCTGATGACCTATTTGTAAACTGAGATCAAGTAAATTTTCATTCTACAAAAGGTAGCCTGGTCTTAATTTCCTGAGCTTATCTTGCTGCTATAGACCCTTCTTAAACCTGACACCTTGAGTTAATTGGCATCTTAGTCTAGCAAATCGTTAATCAATCGCCTGGATGCGGTTGGCATTCTCTTCTTGTACTTTGTCATGTTATAATTTACAGAATCTCTTTGTTTAGTCTTTGTTTTAATTGTCTCAAAATAGCTTGGAAGAAAGAAAATTCCATACCAAGGCACTGTCAATCTTCTGTGTTATTGTTTTGTAAATTGCATGTGAGTCGACTTGGTTTTGGAAGTATATTTCTGTTTGGTTAAACAATATCTGAGTCGACTTGGTTTGTATGTGCAGGTGTTAATCCTTTGTCCAAATAATCTTTCTGATTCTTCTTTGTGGTATTGCAATAAAAATTCATTAGTGATTAGATTGCCATCTTCCTGTTCCATTTAAGAATGCTCGTTTCTTTTCCATTTCATGTAGTCTGTCGTGTGCATTCTTGTTATCCTCGACTACTTGGCTTGCAACATTTGATTATTATGCAAAAAGTCAAACAAAGACAAATTGCTTTCAGTTTCCATCTGTAGTTTATATATTGTCTGTTTGCTATAAAATTTGTGTTATGTGCAGAGAACTACGAAAACGTGTTCTTTTAAATTTGATTATATATGATAACATGACAAAGCATTGTTAATTTTAAATACTTGGTAATTAATTTCACTCCTATAAGGAATTGATATTTTTATGCTTGTTTTTGTCCTATTTGTTTAGATTATTCAAAATAAAAAGTTAATTATATATTAATTATGTAATTAATTATCTTTAGTATTTTGATTTTTATATTTGAAAAGTGAAATATTTAATCTCGTTTTTCTTTATGTTATTGATTCGAAAATATTGCATGTGCCCAGTAATAAATTGAAGTGTTATATTCAATAGTAAATCTTATAATATTTTTAACAAGAGAATTAATGATAAGAGAAACGAAATTAAATATTTTATTTGAATATGTATAGAGATTTTAATATATTTTTTTTATAATTTTTAAAAATATAAACAGAATAGGAATACTAAAGTTAATTAATTAAACAAAATAATCTATAACTAATCTCAAAATAAATATTTATTAAAAATTAGTATAGTGAAAATATAATAAAATTAAAGTGAAATTAAATCTCTTGGAAAAAAAAAAGGTGCGATTCGAATTAGATAGGTTGGATGACGATAACAAAACAAACACCGTGAAAGCATTTGGGGGTGAATCTATCACAAGTCTTAAGTAGTACAAGACATGCTCTTTAGCTCCACAAAGCGTTCGAGGGAAGGGAAGAGGAGAAATCACCGTGTAATTCCATCCTTGGAACGCCGGCTTCCTATTACTTCTTTGCCTTCCTCTTCTCCACCACGAAGAAGAAGACGAGCGCAAGAATGGAAAAGGCGGAGAAACAGCCCGCCGCAATGTCGAGCGACGCGTGGCGGCCGGTGATCCCCACCACGTCGAACAGGTTGGTGGTCTTCGCGGCGTTGGTCGTCTGCCCGTAAGCGACCTCGGTGTCGCCGGAGTCGAGCGCGTACGCCCTCACGAAGTAGGTCCCGGTGGGGATGCTGCGCTCCACGGTGTACACGAAGGAGCCGCCGCCGCTGCTGTAGGGCTGCGTGGTGACCTTGAACTGGCACGTCTTGTCCTTCTTCAGGTGGTCGTCGGTCTTGCGCCACCCGCGGTCGGCCTGGCTCACCGGATCGTAGCACAGCAGCACTTTGACCTTCTTGTAGCCCGAGTCAGCGCTCGCCGGCGTGCTCTGGTTCAGCTTCCAGCTCACCTTGATCTGGTCGACGCCGGCGTGCAGCACTGAATCATGTAGACAGACATCCATGTCATACACAAGGAAAGAAATCATGAAGAGAAAAGGACAGAGAAAGGAGACAAACCTTGGCCTGCAGCAGGAGATGAAGTGACTGTGAGCGTATTTGGAAGGCTGGAGAAGAGCACAGCCATGGAAGACCCTATACAAGACACAAGTAGCACAAGACGAAGAAGAGGAGCTGTAGCCATGGAGGAGATTCTACTCTTTTCCTTCAACTGTGGAAGCCTTCTCTGGAGATTGATGGAGCAGCAATCTTGTATATATAGACTCCCAAAACAATGAGAAGCTAATAGAGTATTGCAACACAGTTGACTTCCCCAACGAGGGAGCTCTTTAGGGGAACCAAAGGATGTTCGTACAGGTTCATAGGAAAGTGCTCCTGATGGCTCTCGACTTTGGCCAAAGGGCAAAGAGATATCGTTTGACTTCCTCCAGTGGGCCTAATGGCTTCCATTAGAGGCAATTCTTCTTGAGGTGTGATGGAATTGTGGTGAGGTGGAATCCAAAAGTCAACTGTCAGCTGCCATCTACAGCATAATTGGACTGGGAGAGCTCCACAGAGCCGACAGAGAAGTAAACTGATAAGAGATCCCAGAAATGCATATGCTGTAAGATATTCCTCAAGAGTTGATCTTTCTTGCTTCATGCAGCCACAACCTGCAGTCTTTGAGATCATGAACAGGTGATTCAGTGGCATTACGACATCTTGAATGAACAAAAGATGCATGACGATGCAATCTTGTTGACATATTATTTGTTTGCATAGTTCATTATTTCTTGGTTTAAATGCCAGGCGACAAGGAACATAAATTGCAGTGACGATTGCAAGGCGTGTAAGCCAGTGCTTTCTCCACGTGTGTCAGAAGCGCTAAAGCAAAACGCCAAAGTTATACCTTCGTTCCCTCACGCGTCTCGCGTGTCCTGCGTCCCGCGTCCGGTTG